GGTTTATAGGGTTTAGGGTTGAGGGAACCGATTTGTTCAGCCAAAGCTGCCAGAGCTTTCTCACCATCTCCAACGATTTCCGTGCAAAGTTGAAGTTTTGAACCCTGAATCCTAAACTCTGCGGGATTACCATGTTTGAATGTCAGACGCCCCAACAATGCAAGAAGAGTGGAGCTCGCAGCCGCTCCGGTTTTGCCAGCTGAGCTGTATAGCATCTGAGCGGCACAGGAATCCGAGGCCTCGAAAGGTGGGATGAAGGTAGGTGGGATCTTCCCAAATAGTAGGCCTTATATAAGGGATCGTTAATCCTACCTGCCTAAATCCCACCTGTTGAGGCCTCCTAAGGAAGCATTGTGATCACGAATATCATCCAGGGTTCCCAAATATATAAATATATGTCGTATGCTATAGACCTTAGCCCAAGAAACCTAGTCCAGTTGTTAAGGCCCCTTTTTTGCACGTCTATGCCGACGGCTTCAAAGGACTAGCCGAAGCCAGGCTCCAGCTCGGCTAGAAACCCTACTTGGAGGTTCTGGGGTCGCTATAACTGGGGGTCATAAGTCCCCAAACATGGGTTTAGGGTTTAGGGCCGTTTAGGGTTTAGGTCATAAGTCCCGAAATATGGGTTTTAACTTTAGTTACCCTACTGATGGCCCTACTTATAGCTACCCATGAACCCCCAAGTAAGTCGTACTCAACACCAGGCGCAACCCAAAAGCGGACAAGACCCCGGCAGCACGCCCAAATCTCCTAAACCCCTAAACCCCTAAACCCTAAAGCCCTAAAGCCCTAAACCCCTTAACGCCTAAACCCGAAACCCCTAAACACCTAAACCCCCTAAACCCTAAAGCCCTAAACCCCTTAACACCTAAACCCGAAACCCCTAAACCCCTAAACCCCCTAAACCGGGCAGCACGCCCAAATCTCCCAAGCCCCCGAGCCATTCTCCGCTACCGCGGCCGTGTGATACTATGGAGGTGCTCACGGGATGGGGGTTTAGGGTTTTAGGGTTTATAGGGCTTATAGGGTTTTAGGGTTTTAGGGCTTTAGGGGTTTAGGGGTTTAGTTGTTTTAGGGTGTAGGTTGTTTAGGGGTTTAGGGGTTTAGGGTTTTAGGGTGTAGGTTTTTTGGGGGTTTAGGGGTTCAGGGTTTTAGGGTGTAGGTTGTTTAGGGGTTTAGGGTGTAGGTTGTTTAGGGGTTTAGGGGTTTAGGGTTTAGGGTTTTAGGGTTTTAGGGTGTAGGTTGTTTAGGGGTTTAGGGTTTAGGTTTTGGGCTTGTCCCAGGGTCCTAGTACCAAATTCTCATGGTACTCTCCCGAACCCCAGACACAAACCTACAAAACTACATCCTATACAGGTCCTGTGGGCCTTTAGTGTCGGGAAAGAATGAGATCAGAGCTGATGTGAAGCATTGGGTGTTGGAGTTGAGTCCAGGATGGGAGGTGCGGGCATTAGAGCTTCGCGGCGTTTAGGGCAGTTTAGGGTTTCAGGACGAGGGTTTAGGGTTCAGGGTTCTGGTGGACAGAGGTGAACTGATGGAGCCAACCAGTCTTTAATCTCCGCAAGTCTACAAAGCAGAAGCAGGACAGTCGGAACACCAATCTGCCCCAAGCCCAAGCCGAAACAACACACGACCCGCACAACTCGCGCTGGTGTTCATCTTCTCATTGTTGGCATCTTCGCAGTCTGCACTCGTAGAAGTTGCAAGTCAGGGCGTATCGATCAAGGATCCCTTGAAACCCGAACCCACTTGTGGGCCTGCCTTTGTAACCCTAAACCCTAAACCCTAAACCCTATTCCTTTGTAGGTGAAGGTGAGGCAGCCCAGTGGTGCTTGCTTCACCGTCACGATTGACAAGCGCGAGACTTGCAGAGATTTGAAGGTGGTCCGGGCTTGACACATGAGCATTCACTGCATCAGTGAAGACCTTCGAAGCCCTAATCCCAAGAAGCAAAAAATCAGCAGCACTATTGTTATTGTTATTCTTACTGTCGTTGTTGCCGCTATAGTTAAGATGATGAGCATGTTTGTGGTTATTGCTAAACCCGTATACTCGAGCCCCCCCCCCCCAAGCCCTAAACCCCTCAAGCCCCAATCCTTAAGTCCCTGAGCAGTTTGCCATCGCTGCACAGACCAGGGTGTCAGCCAGGCGGCAGAAGCACCTTGGATCCTAGAAGCGCGCGAGGATTGAATGGAACAGTCCGGCTCGATGGATAGACGGATAGTTGGTTAGACAAAAATGTGTGTCTGTGTATGATGGATAGATAGATAGAAGGATCGATCGAGATGTATATATACATATATATATATACACACACAGAGTGTATATATGTGCAAAGGTACAATCTGTTCACTATATCACCACCAAAAATACCAAAGCAATTGTCCACGGCTGCCTTGAGGGTCAGGTGTCCGGTTTGGGAGATGTCCAGGGAAAGGGGCTTGGGTGTTTAGGGGTTTAGGGGTCAGTGATTTGGGGTTTAGATTTCGGCTTTGGGGTTTCATTTTGGGGGGTTTCATTTTTAGGGTTTAAGGTTTGGGGTTGAAGGTTTAGGGTTTCATGCTTTTGGCTTCTAGGGTTTACATCGCTCGTTCTGTAACTCGACTCGGGTCTCTGCACTGAATCAAAGGCAAAACTTAAATCCCTACAGGCCCTAAGCCCACCTGAAACCAGGAAAACCCCAAGCCCGAAACTCTACACCCTCAACCCTAAGCCCTCAACCCTAAACCCTCAACCCTAAACCCTCAAACCCTAGCCCCTTTCGGACGGGAAGGAGCTCTAGGGGCCCTTCCGTTCTTTCGTTTTAGGGTTGTCGGCTGAGGGCTTCGGGTTTAGTAGGGCATTGAGGTAAAGGCTATAGCGGCTTTTGGGTTTGGGGATGAGATAAAACTCAGGGTGATTGGAGACATTCAGGCTTCTCTGCGGCACGGACTTGCTACCCGATTCGCCACTTGGCCGACAGAAGACTTGCCTTTGGCTTTGGGCAGTGTGTTGCAGGTCTACGGCAATTCGCACGTGGCATTTTGGTGTCCTTTGATGTAGCAAATCGCACAAAGTGGGTGCTGCTTCAATTTGCGACTTTAGGACCCATCAAGAGGGCACTATTTGGAGGTTTAGTGCTTGGGAGGGTTCTTGAGTCTTCAACTTAGAGTTCCCGAACCTAGGATTCGAACTTAGAGTTCCCCGGATCCTGGGGGTAGCATCTGCCATGATGGCGGCACTGTTCTTGCAAGATGCGCCTGCTGCATCGCAGCATCATGTTCTACCAGGCTTACTGGAAGTTGAGACGGCGCCCTCCTGCTTGAAAAGTCTTGCTTCCGACATTTCGTCCTGCAAATCTATACCTCGCAATCTGCAAGCCTTAAGCCCGCATGGCGTTGGTTCGACTCTTCTTGGCCAGTGCCCATGCGCAGTATTCAGTCGCCAATACCCTCTACGTGTGCTCTTAGTTGTTCTTCGGGTCGCTGCTTCAACTTTGCACATGTGCATAGACTCATGCACAGGCTGAGGGGTCTGTCCAAAAGGAAAAACCCCAAACCCTCGCCGCCTTTGCCCCCCGAACCCCCTATAAACCTTAAATTCCTCAAACCCTAAAACTCCTAGACCCTTCATCCCCTCCAAACCATGAATTCTGAACTACAGTACCTTAAATTCCTTAAATCCTAAACCCTTCACCCCCTCTAAACCATAAACTTTGCCTCTCAGGAAGAGACTGGAGGAGTTGACTTCCGAGGCGTCCGTCGAAGTTCTCTTGGTGGGCAGTTCCTCGGTTATGCAGAATACAAATATTAATAATAAGAACAATAATAATAATAGTAATAATAAAAATAATGATACGAATAACCATCGTAAGAATCAAAATACAAATGCTAATAATATAGTAATAGTATGTCTAGCCGCCTGAGAGTTTAGAGGTTCCGGGCATCGGGGTTACTGATTCAAGGTGCCTAGGGTTTAGGGGTTTAGGGTTTAGGGGTTTAGGGTGTAGGGGCGTAGGGGTTTAGGGATTAGGGGTTTAGGGGTTTAGGGGTTTAGGGGTTTAGGGTTTAGGGGTTTAGGGTTTTAGGGGTTTAGGGTTTAGGGTCCCCAGAAGTGTGTCTGCACCTCACGGTTTGTATGCACGATTCGGCTTGGTTCTAGGATGTCTGGCGTGCATGCTTGATGGGATAGTCAGGTCCTGTCTGCGACCTGGTTACATATTCTCGCCTTGCCCCTGCCGTCTGGGACTGCGATGCTGGGTTGCTGTTAAAGAACTTAATTCAAGTTACCATAATGGGGATATACATTAAATAGTAAGGTTCGCTGATTATTTCATACAGTATCTGAATCTAAGTTCCTTAACAGCAACCCAGGATGCCTGCACCCTCGAGCACCCCGTGATTGAAAAGGATGACGACCTGCAATTGCAAGACGTGGAAGATGCGATGCGGCTGGAGGATTCTTTGTTGTTGAAAGCAAGACAAGGTGCAGTCTGCTTAGGATCAGTTTCCAGGCGCTTCTTCACTCGTCAGGACGAGGTGTCGGCACGTTGAGGGGTTGTTCCGAAGCCACCGTAAAGACTGCTTCAGTTCACTCTGGTTTAGTTGTCTCAATCTTAACATTAAGAGCAAGGCCACCGAAGGCTTGAGACGGGCTGTGCTGTTACCATCCCAGCAAGGACGGCGAGCTGTATACCCTTTTGAAGTCGCGGAATTCTGGGGCAGGGCTTCTTTGTATACAACTGTGGCGAGGTATTCCAGGATCATGCGTTCATCGATTCCCCCTGTCGCCACGCTGGCTTGACACATACGTCTCTGTCTTTTTTTCTCCCGACGGGGCGTTTGTAATTGCCGATTGTGCAGATTATGAGACCGTGCGGATGTGGCACACATCGACGGGGGAGCCGCACTCATGTTTCCTTTCCGGACCCGACGACAACACTGGCACGATCTTGGATATGCAGTCCATGTGCCGACTAGCGCTGGTTGTTAAGTCAGGTACGATAGAGCTCTGGAACTACCACGATGGGACTCGCTGCCATCGTTGGGAGAACTTCGAAACGTTTTTTTACTTCCACTTTGCTCGGCTTTCGATTTCAGGGTCTTGGATTGCATATTGGTGCGAGGATCGGGAACTGACGGTTTGGGAACGTGAGCACCGGGATGATGCGATGACTTTCTCTAGGGTGGACCGGGCAGCCTTCTCATCAGATGAGAAGGAGATAGTAGCGATGCACAAGCATGACGGACAGGTGGCGGTGATACGTCTCTGTGATGGGCAGACACGAACCGTCGTTGTGCCGGCATGCAGGTGGCTATTTTCGGACATTGGCTTCTCGGTAGATGCCTCTACTATCTTCCTTGCTGAGTCCAGCGGACGTCTCTTTCGCTGGTCGAGGGAGTCGCTGGAGCTTCTGCCAGCCACGCCGGACCCTCCAAAGGACGGGATGAAGCCCAAGACCCTAGACTTCCCCGAGCCTTCCAAGGGACGTGATGAAGCCCTAAACCCTAAACCCTGAACTTGCCTAGACCTTCCAAAGGCACCTGGTGAAGCCCTAAACCTGAAACCCTAAACCCGGACCCTCCAAAGGACGTGATGAAGCTTGGACTGTGTCGCGATGGGAACACTTTCTTCCGCAGC